TATATGAGGTTAAAACAACCTGGCTTAGAAATTGATATGCTCAAAATAATAGAAATATAGAAAAATATACTTAAGACCACACAACTCCTGGCCAGTTTGAATCTAGAGCTCCTGACACCATGCCATTGTGCTTTCCTTGGTTCTTGTTCTTAGAATCAAATACCTGTCTTCTAAGTATTTGAGAGGGAGAAAAGAAGGGAAGGAGGAGGAGTGAAAGTGATGGAATGAATCATCAGTTAATACCTATTGTAATTCTCTTTAATTATACAACAGGGTTTATATTTTGTTTGCTCAGATGTCTTAGTAATACAATAACTAGCTTCCTTTAAAATAAGCCATATATTTTACCAGTATTTATTCTGTTCAAGACATGCTGAGGCATACCATAGTGGGATGAGAATGTTCAAGCTTTTAAGAAGACTATAGTAAAAAATGAAACCTTTAATATATGGAAGCTCAAATATAAATTAATAAGGATAGAAATGATATTGCATTTAACATTTATGACAGGAAGCTATCTAAATATCCAGTATTTGATTCATGACAGTAATTGCATGTAAGGGGAATATTATATACTTAATATAAATGATTTTTGGTGAATGTGAAATAAACATATATCTATGTGAAAAGAATATACAAATAAAATAGAAAATGTGTAACTGTTTTAACAAAAAGGAAAAGACAAAAATACTAGCAAATAAATTATACTGAATGTAGTATTAGTTCATAATGGCAATTCAGTTGTATTAATGTGGATTATATTGATCCATAGCTCAGGTAGCACCTAGGTTTTCAGTGCCTTCTATGTTTCAAGCATTGTTAGATTCTAGAAATAAGGCAGTGAATAAGAGAGGGCTAAAACTTTTCCATAAGGTACTTACAGTTTTATCAAGACAGATAGGTAAGTACCAACAAATTATGCTAAATGATAGAGTTCTGTGTAAGTGGCTAGCTAGAGTTTTGAATTGTTTTTTTGTTTGTTTGTTTGTTTTTTGTCTTTTTTCGTTTTTATCGGTACCAGGGATCGAACTCACGCTGCCTGCTTGCAAGGCAGGTGCTTATGCTGCTGAGCTAAATCCCCAGCCCCTCTGAATTGTTATTAACAGTAAGCTAAGCTGTGGTGACCAATTTACCCAGAACTCTTCATAATTTGTCATATAAAGAATTTGTTTTTCACTCAAGTTATGTCCAGTTCCAAGTAGGCATCCAGCCCTCCATTGCCATAATAAGGGAAAGGAGAAATGGGTAATCCCAAAGGATATTTTAAGGGCCAAATCCTATAAGTGGTTTCAGCTCTTTTCCCTCCACATTTTACTGGCCAGAAACCAATTTTATTCCCCCAATCTAACTGGAAGCCTGGCTAGAAATACAGAGGAGCTATATTTGGTGAATACCAAGTCTGCTATTGGTCTTTACTATAGATTAAATAGTTAAGGAAAGACTTGCTCAGAAACTATTGCATTTAAAATTGAGAAAACAAGTAGTTAAGTCGATCTGGAGGGAGATGGAGATGTTATTTGAAATAATAATGTTCTTATGGCAGTACCTAAAGAAAACAGCATGACTGTTTCCAGAAACTGGAATTTTAATGTGAGTAGGTAGGGGTACTTTATAAACTGTCTTAGGGCATTTATAAATTTATTCAGAAGGCAGTGGAAAGCCAGTCAAATATGAGTAACATGAGAATAACATGACAAAATTTGAGTAACATGAGGACAGCAGTATGATAATGCTTGCATTTTAGAAAGATCATTCTGGTTACAGTGAATATTGTGGATTGGAGGAGAGTGAGTCTGCAGATGGGAGACCATTTAAAAAGCTCTAACATCAGTTAATTTGGGCAGTGATGATGGTCTGTTTGAAGCACAGGAAGAGATACACTGGAATGATATTTAAAAAGTATAATTGTTACAATTTAGTAAGTGGTCCTTTGGGTAGTTAATAAGAGGAATGGATTATAGGACTAATGAAGAGAGGTTTGTTTTAGAGCATATCAAATCAGGCATAAGACAGTTGAATTTGTATGCTCAGTAGCACAGCACCCACCTGGCAAGCACGAGGCCCTGAATTCAATTCCTGGTACCTAAAACAAAACAAAACTTAAAAAAAAAAGCTCCAAAAGATCTTTTGTAAATGGGAAGGCAATCTTGAGAGGAAGGGAGTGGGGAAGGAGATGGAAATGGGAACAAAAAGAATAAGATATATACATACATGCACTCCCCATAATGAATGTAACCATGGATGTGTAAAACACATCCAGTACTAATAAAAAATAAAGTTTCCATAGTAATTCTAATATACAGACCAGGTTGAGAAACACTCTCAGAAAACTCTCAGTAAAAATAGGTTTTATATATGTTCATATGTGTCTTATCTGCACCCAATCATGTGAGCACACACCAATATGTTGAACAATTTCTGTGTATATATATATGCATAAATACATTTTTAACCACAGATATGTAGTTAAGATGATTTTTTTATTTCATTTCAGTGTCTTAATCTGATGCCTGACTCACTCATCTGATTTTAAAGTGATCCTGGAAAGCTTAAAATAATATTGGAAGAAAACTTTTTAAAAAGTCACTTACCTATTCTGGATATCAAATTCTCTCTTTTGATCTAGCCTGTCCTCTTCTTACCTCAAAAAACACTACAGGAACAAGGTTGAATTGGGCTAAAGGTTAAACAGGTACTGTTTTCATCCACTTTTGCCAAATCTCAGAGTCAGTGACCTGCAAAAGACCTCCCAGTACTTTGATCAAAATCTAGATGAAAGGATGGTAGTGCTGTCTATTTTTGTCAAGTGCTTCATATTATTTTTACCTCATTCAGTCCTCACAGAAATTCAGAGGAGTATGTGTTATTTTATTTCACAGAGGATGAAGCTACAGCTGGAAGCTTATCTATTATATCACAGAATTCTAGGACAGATCTGCTTAAATCCAAGCACTGTGTTCACTGAATAGTGCTAATAAGTATAGCATTTCTACAGTGGTTCTCAGTTTTTGATTTAACATTTATGTACCCTTTGAGTCATATTATTTGTTCCACTCAGGTAGATGTCAATATAAATCCAAATTGTTGAATAGCACATTTATAGGAATAAGGGAAGACTTAGGAAAACAGAGGATTGACTCTACCAGGAACTCACAGTCTGCCTATTGGCATGTTCTGTGTTTTGTATTTTTTTTTTAACTTTTTTGTTATAGTTTATCTTCTGTGAACATCCTTCGTGTGTTTCTGATGTGGATCTCTCTGTCTTTGTGTGTGTCTGTGTCTTTTTGTCTTTCCTCTGTCTCCTCACTTTTCTGACCCTCCTCCCTCTCTCTTTCCTTCCCTCTCCCTCTCCTCTTTCCTTCTACCTTCCTTCCTTCCCCCTCTCCCTAAAACATTGCTGCAAGCTTTGCTGTTTTTTTTTTTTTTTTTAACTTTATGTTTTAGCAGGTAATGTTCTACCTGATTTTTGTTATGCAAGATGGGAAAAATGAGTATGGATAGATTTACAAGTATTTTATGAAACTTAGATTCATAAAAGATTGATTTTTCAGGAGAAAGTAAAACTTGTGTTCACTCCTGAAACATTGAGTAAGTGATTATTCTTTATCCTATCTTGCAGTATTATTTTTGTCTTTGGGTCTTTAATCTGTTGCAGCAACAATGATTACTATTGAAGTTAAGTTTTATAACTTTGTCAGTAATGTTTTAACATGTTATTAACTCTTTTAAAAGATACATTTAAAATGCAATTAAAAATTCTGCATTCTTGATTTGCAGTTGTATTATGTGGCCAGTTTTCTTGCCAAAAAATGTGGCCTTAGTTATTTAGTGGAGGGCAGTAGTGAGATAGTAAGATTTGCCTTATGGTGAAACCTTGACACTGGTAAATTCTTGGAAGGTGTCTATTTAGAGTTAGGGACTTTTCCATTTAATCTAAAATCTATATATAATTTGCATTAGAAAAGTTTATAAATTCCCTTCATGTACAGTTTTTAAATAGTTCTCAAATGTGAGATAGTATGCTGATAAAGTAATATAATGAAATATAATGGTTCATTTTATAAGTAAAAACACTAAACATTGCTGTTTAATAAAAGCCGTTAGCCAGGCATGATGGCATAAACCTGTAATTTCAGCCCTCAGGAGTCTGAGGCAGGAGGATCACTGAGCTGGAGACCAGCCTTCATAGTGAGTTGATGGCCAGCCTGGAATGCATGATGAGGCACTATCTCAAAACGCAACAAAGAAAGATCTTCAATTTTATAGCTCTTTGTGGAGTTTGATTTGTATGTGGAGATCTTTTTGCTGTTAGCTTAATTTTAACAGTGTTATTCAGATTTTTCTATTTTATCTTAACAGTCTCACTGTCATATTTCCTAAGACAGTGTCCATGTGTCCATATTTTAAATTATATTGGCATGAAATTGTTTAATATCCTTTTATTAGTCTAATGTCTATAACATCAGTAGTTTATATATAGTTTATAATATTAGTGATTTACAAAAAATGCCCATTCACTTGCTCCCTTTCTTCCTTTCATTTTTCCTTCCTTCTATCAGCCTAACTTCTTGTTCCTTAAATCTGCCCTATTTCTTTTAGTGAAATTTCTTGTCTTCCTAATTTTGGAAGTGTTTCAGATTATATGTTTAGTTTTGTGACTTCTATTTTACTTTTGTTTTCTAGGTCATTTATTTCTTATTTTTTCTCAGATTTTTTTGAAGTTTATTATATTCATGAAATTTATTTTATTGCAGTTATGAAATTATTTTATTTCACTTGTCAAAATTTTATCATTTATTGATTTTCATTTTTTGAAAATCAGCTAATTTTCATTTTTTCATACGAATAATTTAGGGTTATAAAATTTTCATGAAACTTACTTTTTCAGTATAGCACAAAATCATATTAAGATCGAGCTCTTATTTAGTTTTGAATGTTTTTTACACGCTCAGCTATTTAAAGGCATTATTATTTCCAAATCAATGGGATTATCTGATTGTCATTTTGTATTTAAAATCTAATTCTTTCTAGGATATATGATTTTTATATTAATTATTTGAAAATTTTAAACCTTTATGTTTTGGCCTATGATCAAATTTTGAATATATCTTGTTTTGGAAATATCTTAAAAATGCAAATTCTGCAACTATTGATACAATTATAGATAGATATATCAATTAGATGGGGATAACTATTGTTTGTGTCTTTTCTATTCACATGCATTCAGTTTTTTGTTAGTTATATAAAAAAGATCCTACTTGTGGGTATTTATTTAGTTTTGATTAAGGTTTGCTCTGTGAGATTATTACTTGCATACTCCTTGGAAATTTACATCTGTCTGATAAATGAAATCTTTTATCAGTTTTTAGTGGTTGCCTGTATTTCTAGTAAATCAAATTTTTTAAAAATACACACTTGACAATTTTTGTTTATATCTAGCACTTAATTTTGTTAGTTTCAACATTTCCTTTTCTTTATTGCTTTCCTTTCATATATTCATGTTTTTTCAGTTTTTTAAGCAGTACTTATGTTACAAAAAATAGAAGGTCATTATATAGTTTGTAAATTCCAAAACCAAGACCAAAATTCAGATCAATTCAAAACTTATGCCTGAAGAAGCAACTCAACAAAGGACATAACAAACACTTCCTAAAGAAGAAATGTATCATGGGAAAAGTATAATCAAACTTAGTGGTAATGTTGATAAAATAAATTCTTAGAATAGAAAAGGATAAAACAGAATTTCAAAGCCAATAGTGATAAGCACTCAAGAATTCAAATGTGTTTAGCCTTTACTGGCAAGAATATTGTTACTGCTCCTATACAGATCAATGTAGCAATATATCAAATTGTTAAAATACTTATATTCATGAGATGTAAATCTCATTTTCAAGAATTTATAAAAATAATTGAAGGTATATAGAGAGATTTACCCATAGTGATGGTCATTGCATCTCTTAACGGAAAATTAGAGTATTGGAAATATGTAATCACCTCACAATAAAAGAATAGCTTCAGGCAAATATGAACTCTCCGCCTAATAAAATGCTAAATAGAAATTTAAATGGTATCTTTTAAGTGAATTTATGAGAGGAAACTTAATTGTGAGCTGTGGAGGAGAAAATGACTACAAACTAAAATATACAAATAAGAAAATTTAAAAACTGATTATATAACATTCTCAGATGATTACAAGTATCAAACTCATCAGTGTTATTAGAAATGTTTAATTTTGTTTATATTAATTATACCTCAATTAAGCTGTGTTTTTTAAAATAAGGGTTAAAAGTAACATGTCTTGAAAAAGAAATTTTATGTAATTTTTGAAACATTTTCTTTTTTTTTTTTTTTGTACTAAGGATCTACTCAGAACTTTGCACTTATCTGACAGGTGCTATGCCACGGAGCTAAAACCCTGGCCTATATCTTCAGCCCCCTTTTCACTTATTTTTCTAATTATCTAAACATTGTTGAAAATACATACTACATTATTAAAAATACATAGCAAGCCATACAATTCTTAAATAAGACATGTTATAATTTACAATGCCAATCTCTTACCTATTTTCATTTTTGCAGATTGATTTTTAAAAGTTCTAAGGCATAATCATATAATCTTCTTTTCCTTTGCATTTTAAAATTATTTTTCCATGTTTATGCCCAACTTTGTAGTTACGAATTTGATGACATTATATTCTATATTCTAAAATCATATTTCAGTGATTAAATATTTACATAGTGAATACTACATCAATTAAAATGGCAGTTATATTTCTAAACATAATTATGACAAATGTAACTTATCAAGTACCTTCATAATGCTTTACAAAAAATGTCACTTGTAATTCTTAGAGCAATTTAATGACATAAAACCATTCTGTGGATAGCAGTAAGAAATATTCCTAGAAATACAAATTACTATACATTAGTCCTGTTTGTTGGTTCTCATTTACTTCAGAATTTTATTTTTTAATTTTTTATTATTTTAAAGAGAACAGAACAAAATAGAACAGAGTAAAACAATGCAAATAACACAGGATTTCAGAAAAAGATAGCAGGAAATCAACAGTGGCTACCATAATATTTTTTATTTTCTTCAAAATAGTTGTCTGTACCTTCACATATAATAAGTTATACACCTCAAGATGGTATGAAAGCAATCAAAACATAAGAATGAGAGTGTTAAGGGTTTTCAAGATCAGACACTAGGAGATCAATAATGGCTACCATAATATCTCTTGTTTTCTTCAAAATAACCGTCCACATCTTCATACATTTTGAAATCAAATAATTGAAAACAGATTAAAAGCAATCAAAACCAAGAATAAAAGCATTATTGGCTTTTGAATCAAAATGATAAGAAATCATCACTGTCTGCCATGGCGTCTTGTTTTCTTCAGTGTAGTTGTTCATATAATCACACATACTAAAATCAGTCCTTATAAACTCTTTAGGTGAAGTTCTAGACATATGTAAACATATACGTGTACATCTATCCTTTCTGTATGAGAGGGAAAAACAAAATAAAAAATAAATAACTGTATTTAATAGCCCAAAACAATAATAATGTAGGCTTACAAAACAAAGAGGTAAGAACATAACAATTTATGTTGTTTTGTCTTATTTGAATTACCTGATATAGTCATGCAAAATTGATCTAATCCATGGCCGTTACCTGTTTTGTTGCAAGAACTATGAGAATTAGTAGTACAATCATCTCAGTAATCTTAATGTATATATATGAATTTGTATCATTTCATTTCTCTTATTTTCTCTGAGTTATTTTTTCCTCTTTGAACAGTTTCTTACACTTCCACAATATTTATTGAAAATTTTGTATTTTATTTACTCTTTCAGTTTCTTACACAAGGGAGACAGCACGGTATTTACACGTCAGTTTGATTTATTTCATTTATGATTACAGTCTCAAGTCGCATCCATTTACTTATAGAAGTTTCAATGTGGTCTTTCTTTGTAGTTGAGTAGTACTCCATTGTATCAATACTACATCTTTTTTTCTATTCCTCAGTTGATGGGCATTGGAGTTGTTTCCAAGATTTAGGTATTACAAATTGTGCTGTTATCAACATGGGTGCACATATGTCACTGTGGTGTCATGTTTTCAGTTCTTCTGGGAATATGCCCAGAAGTGGAATAGCTGGGTCAAATGGGACCTCCAATCCCAGCTTTTTGAGGAACCTCCACGCTGAATTCCACAGTGGTTGCACCACTCTACACTCTCACCAACAGTACCTAGGTGTTCCCTTTTCTTATCAGCATCTCCGGCATTTGTTAATGGTGGTTTTCTTGAACCTGGCTATTCTTTCTAGTGTGAGATGGAATCTCAGTGTGGTTTTAATTTGCATTTCTCTAATAACCAATGATGTTTTACATTTTTTCATGTATTTATTTGCCAGTTGTATTTCTTCATCTGAGAAGTATGTATTCATCTCAGATGTCCGATTTTTGGATTAGGTCTTTGAATTTTGGAGGCATGATTTTTTTTTTTTAAATTCTTTATGTTTTAGACAGAAGTCCTTGGTCTGAGGGACAGTTCACTGAAATTTTTTCCAAATTGAGGGGTTTTCTTTTCACTCCATTGGAGATTTCTTTTGACATGCAAAAACCTTTTAGTAAGATGAGATTCTGATTATTGAGTTTGGGAAGTATTTCTTATGCAGTTTGACTTCTGTTCATGAATTCTCTGCTGACCCCTATGTCTTCAAGATTTCTACCTACTTTGTATTCCAGCAGACTCAGTGTTTCTGTTTTAATATTTAGATCTTTGATCCATTTTGACTTTAGTGCATGGTGATAGACATGAATCTAGTTTTAGTGTTCTGCATATGGAAAGTCAGCTTTTCCAACACTGCTTGTTAAAGGGAGATTCTCTTTCTTTCAGTGAGCCTGTTTTGCCCCTTTGTCAAAGATAAGATGTCTGAGTGTGTTTGTAGTTGTGGTTCTATCTTCTAATCTATTCCATTGATCTTGAGGTCTATTTTGTTTTGTTTTGTTTTTTGGTACCAGGGATTGAACTCACAACCTCACATTTGCCAGGCTGGTGCTAATGCTGCTGAGCTAAGTCCCTCGCTCTACAGGTCTGTTTTTAATTCCACTGCCTTGCTAATTTTATCACATTAGCTTTGTAGTATAACTTCAAATCAGGAATTATGATGCCTCCTGCCTTGCCTTTGTTACCCAGAATTGTCTTTGCTATTCTAGATCTCTTCTGGTTCCAGTTGAATTTTAGGAAGCATTTCTCTAGATGTGTTGGGTATGCTAATGGTATTTTGATTGGAGTTGCATTTAATCTATATAACAATTTTGGGAGAATGGCCATTTTCTCAATGTTTGTTCTTCCTATCCATGGAAAGATTGTCTATCTTCTGAGATCCTCTTCAGTATCTTTTTTCTTTTTTGAACTTTTTAAAAAATTTTTTTTATTTAAAGAAAGACTAAACAAAACAGAAAATAGGTAGAAATAGTACATACATTCAGAGAAAAAAATAAACAGTAAGAAATCACTAGTTGATGTTGTTTTACAAATAGTTGTTCAAGATACAAAAATGCAACATGTAAAGTGGGAATTCAAACAGAGAGACTGCAAAAAGTTCTGTTCAACTGAAGAACATAAACTTAACATGGTTGTCAATCCTATACACTTAAACATGCATGCAGTTATCCATATCTTCATTTATGTTTAGATTAAACAAACTAAAGCAGGTTAAAATCATTCTGAACAAAGAATAATAATATTGCTGAATTTCACATCATGACACTCCGTGATCAGCACTGGGTACTGTAGTGTCTTCTTTTTAAAACTGAATTTAAAGAAAGACTAAACAAAACAGAAAATAGGTAGAAATAACACATAATTTCAAAGAAAAAAAATAAACAGTAAGAAATCACTAGTTGATGATTACAGATTGTCTTCTTACAAATAGTTACTCAAGATACTAAAGTGGAACATATAAAGTGGGGATTCAAACAGTGAGATTGCAACCAGTTCTGTTCAACTATCCAACAAAACTTAAAAATATGGTTATCAATCCTATATACTTAAACATACATGCAATTACCCATATCTTCAATTATGTTGAGATTGAATAAACCCAAGGAGGCTAACATCACTCTGAACAAAGAATAGTAGTATTGCTGGGTTTCACATTATGATACTCCAGGATCTGCACTGGGTACTTTAGTGTCTCTTTTTCTTTAAAGTATCTGTTCATTTCATCAATTGTCATAAGATCAGTTCTCATAAGCTGTTTATAGATTCTACACATTCAAGAGTCTTAACATGTATTTCTCTCTTTTTTTTTTTTAATTTTGAAAGTAGTAAAAATGCAACAGCACAAAACAGAACAAAGCCAATTGAGACAATGCAGTGAAATTGGTACAGGATTTCACAGTAGGATACTGGGATAGTAGTAGTAAGTACTATGGTATATCTCTTTAACTTAACAATAGTTGTCCAGTCAATTAGGTATTGTAAAATCAAACCAAAAATAAAATATTATAAAACCAATTGAGAATACTGAATAGAGCAAAAGAAACATAACAAAACGGTGAAAACAATCTATGCCTTCAAACAGAAGATAGAAGGAAATCCCCCATATTTACTATACTGCATATGGTCATCCTCCCAAGAGATGCTGAAACATCTATTGCCAGTAGCTAAGAGGGAGGGGGCAGGTGGGAGAAGGGTGCTTGATTTTCAGCCTGGATGGCAGTAGGCTCACAGATAACGGTTCTCCTCCAGGCTCACGCTGCAGGTGCTTAACAAAAGGATGGGTGAATAAGCTGCCTGAGTCCCTCCATGGCCGGGTCTCTGGAGCTCTGTTCTCCTCCTGGCCCGTGTTTTAGACACCAAGAAGGTGGGTGAACAAGCTGCCTGAGTCCCTCCACGGCTGGATCTCTGGAGCTCTGTTCTCCTGGCCCACTTCGCAGGTGTTTACCAAGAGGGCGGGTGAATAAGCTGCTTGAGTCCCTCCATGGCTGGGTCTCTGGAGCTCTGTTCTCCTCCTGGCCCATGTTTTAGACACCAAGAGGGTGGGTGAACAAGCTGTCTGAGTCCCACCATGGCTGGGTCTCAGGAGCTCTCTTCTCCTCCAGTATCTTTTTTCAGAGTACTGTAATTTTCATTGAATAGATTTTTTACTTCGTTAGATTGATTATAAGTATTTCATTTTTTTGCATGCTACTCTGAACAGTATGGTTTCTCTTATTTCCCTCAGTGAGTTTGTTGTTTATGTTCAGGAATGCTATTGATTTTTGAGTGTTGACTTTGTATCTAGCTACATTACTGAATTTGGTTATTACATGTAGAAATCTCGCAATGGAGTTTTGGGGGTCCTCTATATAAGAGTATAATGTCATTTGCAAATTTCTTTTCTATCTTTATTCCTTTTCTCTCTCTCTCTGGCTATTATCTCCAGCACTATATTTAATAGCAATGATGATAGTAGACAGCCTTGTCTTGTACCTGATTTTAGAGTGGAAGCTTTCAGTTTCTGACCATTTAATATGATGCTGGCTGTTGGTTTGTTATACATGGCTTTTATCAGATTGAGGAAAAGACCGTCTATTCCAATTTTCCATAAGGCTCTTATCATGAAGAGTGTTGGACTTTATCAAAAGCTTTTTCTGCATCTATTGAGATGATCATGTGATTCTTATCTTTGGCTCTATTGATATGACATATTATGCTTATTGATTTGCATAGGTTGAACCATCCCTGCATTCCTGGGATGAATCTCACCCTTCCTTGATAACTTGCTGCATTCTGTTTGCCAGTATTTTATTGAGGATTTGTGAATCTATGTTCAGTAGGGAGATTGGCCTGTAGTTCTCTTTTTTTGTTGGATCTTTCTCTGGTTTTGGTATTAGGGTGGTATTTGCTTCCAGGAATGAGTTAGGGAGAATTGCTTCCCTTTCAGTTTCATTGAAGAGTTTGAGGAATGTTAGCATTTAGTCTTCTTGAATTTCTTGTAGAATTCTGTAGTGAATCCATCTAGACCTGGGCTTTTCTTTGTTGGTAAGGTTCTAATTACATTTTGAATTTCATGAACTGAAATTGGGTTATTTAATAATTTTACATCTTCTTGATTCAGCTTTGGTAATTCATATGTTTCAAAGTAGATAGTGATAATCTTTTGTATTTCCACAGGGTCTGTAGTGATTTCACCCTTATCATTTCTTATTGACTGAATTTGAGAGTTTTTTTCTTTCCTTTTTTAATAAGGGTGGCTAGGGGCTAATTGATGTTATTCTTTCAAAGAAGCAACTCTTTGATTCATTAATTCTTTGTATTGTTTTCTTATTCTCTATTGTGTTGATTTCCACTCTGATCATTATAATTTCGTCCCTTCTTTTGGCATTGGGCTTGTCTTACTCTTTTCCTAGATGTTTGAGGTGTAGCATCTGGTTGTTTATTTTGGTTTATTCTATTGTCCTGATATGGGAGTTTACCACAATAAATTCCCTTGAGGACTGCTATCATTATATCCCACAGATTCTGGTAAGATGTATTTGTATTTTCATTTACTTGTGGATATAGTTTAATTTCTTGTTCTTTTTACCCTTGTTCTTGTTCTTGTTCTTCTTTTTCTATTTTTCTTTCTTTTTTTTTGTACCAGGGATCAAACTTTTGACCTTGAGCTTGCCAGGCAGCAGGTGTTTATGCCACTGAGCTGAATCCCTGGCCCTCTTTAATTTCTTCTATGACCCATTGATTGTTCACGAGTGTATTATTCAATTTCCATGTGTTTATGGAGTTTTTGCATTTCTTTTTTTATTAATTTCCAGTTTTATATCACTATGCTCATATAATATGCATGGGACAATTTCAATTCTTTTTCATTTATTTAAGCATATTCTATGGGGTAGTGTATGGTCTATTTTAGAGAATGTGTCATGAGCAGCTGAGAAGAATGTATATTGTGATGTTTTTGGGTGGAACACTCCATACATACCTAGTAAGTCCATTTGTTCACAAGTTTGATTCAACTCTGTTATTTCTTTGCTGACTTTCTGTCTAGTTGATCTGTCTCTTTGTATCAAAGGGGTGTTAAAGTCTCCCATTATAATTGTGTTATTGCTTATCTGAGTTTTCATTTCTATTAATATTTGTTTTATAGAGCTGGATGCTCCCATATTTGATGCATGTGTATTTAGGACTGCTATCTCTTCCACTTGACATTTTCCTCTTACTAATATAGTGACCTTCTTTATCTATTGTGGTTTGAAGTTCACATTGTCTGCAAACCATACAACTACCTCTGCTTTTTTTTGCGTTCTTGTTGCATGAAATATTGTTTTCCATTCTTTGACTTTCAGTCTGTGAATTTCCTTACGGGTTAGATGGGTTTCTTGTATGCAGCATATGGTTGATATTTCTTGATCCATTCTGCCAGTCTGTTTCACTTAATAGTCGAATTGAGGCCATTTACATTAATAGTTATAATATATATATTGGCTTATTTTTGCCATGTTATCTTTCTGCAGTTGGTTCTTTATCTTTCCTCTCTCTTCAACTGTCTACCCTACTTAACGGCATTTTTCTGTTGGTGTTCTTGAGGATGTAGTTGTTTTGTCTAGTATATCTTTCAGTATTCTTTGCAGGGTTGATTCAGTGGTCATGAAGTTCTTCAGCTGTTTTTTGTTGTGGAAGTATCTTACTTCTCCCATCAGTTTTTTTTTTTTAACTTTTTATCAGTACCAGGAATCGAACTCACGACCACCTGCTTGCAAGGCAGGTGCTTATGCCACTGAGCTAAATCCCCAGCCCCTCTCCCATCAGTTTTAAAGGACAGTTTTGTAGGGTATATCAACTTGGGCTGGAAGTTATTTTCCTTTACGATTTCAAATACTTCATGCTATTCTTGACTTTATTGTTTGTGTTGAGAAGTCTGCTGTGATTCTGATGGACTTTCCTTTATAGATGATCTGTCACTTTTCTCTAACAGCTTTTAATATTCTCTTCTTATGTTGAATTTCTAGGATGTTAATTATTATATATCTGGGTGTAGATTTATTTTGATTATGGCTAATTGTAGTTCTGTATGCTTTGCTTGTCTGTATTATCAGTTTCTTTTCC